TGCATTGCCTACTAGTTACAGCGTCCTGTTATCTTTAAGATGCATATATATTAGTTTTAAAAATAAGGAAGCACTTTTGTACCAGAAAATACATTTATTTTATCTGATCTTTTTTGCAATTTGTGTGACATGTAATTTCGGTGAGCAGGAGCCCTACTGCACATCTAACCAACAGAAATCCCTACAGCTTTAATATGAAAATGGGAGGCGGTGCAATTTATGTTTAAACAGGATTGTTTCATTCATACAGTTATAAGCGATGAACTAGGAGAATTAAAGCCAAAAAATCTGTCGTCGATTTCGAAAGAAGCTGGACATAATTCTGTAACTCCTGTTTGTTTACCAGCAAGTGACTGATAGCTTCGCAAATTGTTAAATTCTTGTCGCTTTTGTTTTTAATAATTTAATTTTTTAGTACAAAATATCAAACTCCCGTTATAACCCATGAATCTGTATGATTGAATATAGTAAGTACGGGTAAAATGGAACCGCTTAAAATTATTCTTGGTAATGAAAACCGTATATTTATAAGAGCATTATTATCATATTCAATCCATTCACCGATGTAATATTAAACATAGGCTAATTGTGAGTACGTTTTATAAGACAAAGTCACGACGATGTTTCGGAAACCAATTATTATTATTAATCAACATTGAAATTAATATGCTTTATAGTTATATACATCCTCTTACTTCTCTAGGAAAACTATTATTCAATCTTGAGTTCTACATATATATTTCTCAAGTTAAACAATGAAAACACATTATAATCACAGTTAAATAAAATAAATGTAAAGACAAAGGAAATTGGGAAAGTTTTGATTTCAGACCTGCTTAAACAGCTACAGAGCTGCCATTAATTATTAACTGCAATGTGTTAAGTAAGAAAAAAATGAGATTGGTTTACTAATCGGAAATAGTAAATTTATTTTATTTTGATCGAAATACAATTATCAATATATCAGCTGGGAACATTTCTTTTGCAAATCTCCATTACATATTGTTTCAAACATTGCAACATGAAGTGTCAGGCACATTCCGATTGTTTCAGTCCAAACAAGAAAATAAAATATTGTAAATCTCTCTCGACCTGACACAATCAGGAAGATTTTAAAATCCATTTAACTGTAACCGGAAATTGAATTAGGGGGGGGATACTATTCTTTTTGTCTCTTTCCCGTTCTTCCTGGAGGAAAATATTTGAGATTCTCATCATTGAAAGCGCATCAACACCACTTTTTGTCTAAATCGTAAAGTTTAAAAGTGGATAATGATTCGAGCAGCATTGTTTCTACTAAAATTTAAGTAGCATACGAGTAACGTTTTCTGATGTAATCTTATATTTCGACTAAACATATGATAATATAATATGCTCCGAAAATCAATGTCTCATTTGAAAATTTATTACGAAAATATACAAGACAAAATACAAATTTTACAAATGTTCTTATAGTAATCGAGAGAGTTTTATCGGATGATTATTGAACTTTGGCGCATAAAACTTTAGTTACCCGAAGTCTGTATATTTTGCTTACAGCCACTAGATTTGGGCTTAAAGCTATAGATTGTAGGGGAATTCCAAGTCTTCCTATAACTCCTAATAATTTTGTCTCATAAAAACAAAAGAAGTAAATATTGAAGCAAATATTAGACAACAAAACAAAGTGAAACAATCAAAATAATTTAGCAGACTCCTGGATGTAGTTTTCTTGTTCTTAATGCTCTTCTCATAGTTATTCATAGTTATTGTTTTTAATTTTTAGGGGACAATAAAAAGTTGTGTTTTTTTTATATAAGGAAGAAAAATATTATTTTAGCAATAAATAAACGCATATAAATCTTTAAAATATGAGCAGAAAGTATAGATATGCAATTTGAACAGTTTGCAGTAATTTCATTTCCAGATATTTTTCATTTGTTTTAGATTATTGAGTTACCTTCTGTTTCATTTAAATAAAATGAGTAAAATATATTTTAAAATATTGAGCAAATCAAACTTTACTTTTGATATATTTATTAAACGACTAAAAATGCAGTATTATTTCTTGATGTTAGAAGAAAGTAATGTAGTTTCTTGGCGTTTGCTGGTTTTTTTTTTTTTTTTTTTTTTTTTTTTTTTTTTTTTTTTTTTTTTTACGCACAAAAGTCATCTAGAACGAACTATCAAACGCTTTGTTAAAGATTATTGAAGACAATTATCCTACTGTAAAAACTAGATTGATATAAATAAGAACATTTTGAAAGTAATACTTTACGTCTGTTTGTAAAAGGAGATTTCTGCCTTGAGATATTTATTCCTGAAAGATAACTTACTTATTACTAGTATTCTTTCAGATAGAATAATAATTCGGAAGTAATGCCCTTTTTAACAGGATTTTGCTGTTAAAGAATTGCAGAATTGGTGCCACGCCTGTTAGCTGCATTACCTTTCGAGAAGCGTTGCCGTCTTTCCACCGTACCAAAAAGTGGACTCTCAGATGGCTTTACAAACTTTAGAGAAGAGTGCTTAACTACTGGCCGATTGAAGGAGACCGCTGAACTTTAGTAGTCTGACCCAGGAAAATCTCCTGGCGAATAGTTTTCTCATGAGTAATATTAGTGCAAATTAATATAGTTTAAGGTCCATTAGCAGTCCGATGGTTAAAACCGCGTGTACTTTGCCATATCAGAATAAACAAAATAATACAGTTTTGACCGAAATAGCCCTTCGATTGGGTTAACTGATTAAGGCAAAGCAACTTGAATGCTAGCCAATAAGAAAGAAGACCTTCATGGAGAATTTTTCCCCAAAAAAATTGTCTCGTATTTATGTTACACATGGGGAAACTACGAAAACTCCCGTGCATCTAGCCTACCCCGGGATTTGAACCCGCACTAAAATGCCACTGTTAAGCTCCTGTACTGTTCGGCCGCTGGTGGGTCATATATCTTTTGGATCAATTTATTTATCAAATAGTAAATCAAATAAGTGAGACTAGCGAGGCAGGTATAAAATACATTGATTAATGACGTTATTTTTGATCAGCAGGATTTCCTAGCTAATAAACCTATTAGATGACTCAAAGGAGTCTTTTGGATAAGAGCCAGCCGAAACTGCGTTAAGAATGGGAAAATAATAGTTCTCAAAAAGGCAAACTTTCTTTAAGCAGAAAACAATCGTGTGATATGTATTAATCTATCAACTAACAAGATATAGCAGAAAAATATTTTATTTCACGGAAAAAGGATTATTAAAGAAAAGAGTTTAAAATTCTATGCCTAAAAAGGGAAAAAAAAGGAAAAGAAGGCAAGTTAGGAATGTTAAGAAAGATAAAATTAATAGAAAAATAACGAATAAAGTTAAGAAAGATAAAAAGTATTACTTATGTTCTTATGCTAGCAATAGCTAGTAATTAATAATAGTTTGAAATACAGCAATTCTGTAATAATTATTAAAGCAAAGGCAGAACTTGGAAATTTCAATGAAATATTAAGTACAGTCTAAAATTAATCAAAAATAAATTTCGTTTCTTTATGAGCTTGTGAATAATGGTGCGTATATTAAGTATGCAAAAATACGTACTACTCGCATTACATCAAAATAGAAGCAATGGAAAATATAAAGTATAGTGGAAGCTAGAATACGAGCACCTCTATATACGAGAAATTCGAGATACGAAGAAAGTAAGAGCGAAATATTTGTCTTTGGCTGTCTTTGTATAAGATCTCTGGCTGTATCATAAACATATTTTTATGCATTCAACTTGTTGAAAAGACCCACATCCGATCAAAACAATGCTGCCCCCTAGATACAGAGTTCTTATCAGGGGTATCAATGCTCAATTTCCTTGTTTTCAGAAACGAAAAACAATCTTATGAGAAATTATAAGATATTTTATGGCTCTTTAAAACGGGGACGATAGGTCAGAAGGGAATGGAGCAATTCGCCGTGGACGTTTCACCGTCGGGCCACTTCGCCGTGAAGACGTATTTTCCTTTACATGAATGTATTATATATTGCCGTATTATAATATTAAGTTGATTTAAATTAATAACTTTGTTTAATTTAATTTAATTTAAAAAATTTGTCTAAAATAATACTTTAACTGAGCCGGTGCTTCAACTGAACTGTACACAAAAATGTTTGTGTGTACAGTTTTATACAAATGCACCGTTACGTATGACATATTAATTTTAAGAAAGTAATCTGCTGACAAGATTCCAAAGTAAGTCCGTTTTCCATTCAAATTTCATAAATATGTGAATTTCCTGCTTGTATGAGTGATTTCTCTGAACTAGCCGATTAAAACTTCAAGAAATTTTGACGAATCATGTAAACATTGTACCCTCATAATTTTAAAATCGATAATATAACTTCTGTTATATCAGAAGTTTAGCCCTAGTTCTCTTTGATTCTGACATAATTTTCCAACTAACTATGTAGAATTTCATTATATCTCATACTTGTAAATAATTATATATATTAAAAGCAACCTTTATTAATTATACAAAAGGTAAGTAGAACTATTAAACTAAATAAATTTAATATGAATATAATACAAGATAAAGTACAGTCAAGTAAAGAAAAATATGTCTTGACAGCGAAACGGCGACGGTGAAATGTCCTAGACCCAAGTCAGGATCTTGCGGGCTTAGGCACCAATGAAGCCCTGCAAAAGACTGTAAAAGTTGCATTAGAGCGTTTAGGGAAAACACTGTCATGATCTGTTCTTTGACCAATAAACTTAAGTCTACATTTGACCTCGATAGTTTAAGGAAAAGTCTCTGTCTTCGAATGTTTTGATGCAGAACAACGATTGAAACTCAATGATTTTCGACAGAATACATATAAAATTTAACTAACTAACTAAATAAATAAAAATACATTAGTTAAAGCTTTGATTAGTAAAAACACTATTATTATTATTTTGTAGTACATAAAATTTTATAACATTTTATAGCGTTAATTTTATGAGAGGTGTGTATTGGCGTGTTCTACAACATGAATTTAAAATCAAAAGAGTTTTAAGCACTTTATTATAAAAAACAGAACAAACATGAACGATTGGCCGACATTTATACATAACACAAGGGCCCATATATTTATATTACTATTGGCAACAAATAACCTGCAGGTTGACAACAACTGTACATGTTACAAAGCAACAAATATAACACTCTGTGACAATAGAATTCCTTCCTCTTCAGAAATAGTACAATATTTCACTTATTAAGTACTTATAATTCTAACAATAAAATGTTACACTTTATACAAATGATATTTATAAAATTTAAATAAAATATTCATTTTATTTCACATACATATATAACTGTAAATAAATAACAATTTGATATCCTTCAATAATATACGACATCAATCACTTGTAAAAATTTCCATTGAAAAATCCATATTTAAATCTATATCTCTTTATAAAATTTATGTACAATATTCGGCTATAAGCAGTTCTTGCACAATCTAAAATAAGAATTACATTAACCAGCATAAGAAAGTGTAACACCCCACAAAAAAAAAAAAAAATTAAAATGTTTACCCATAACCAACGAAACTTTGAGGTACAGTTTATGCATTGCTTATAAACAGCATATTCAAATTTGTACAAATGAAGGCTTGTACTGTAAAAATGTATTATGTGTAACGAATCCATAGCATTATAGCTTACATCCTTTCCAACAGTTAATAGAATTTCAGAAATTAGGTCATGAACAAGTCATTATTTTTTAACTTATATAATCAAGAATCTGTTTTTATGCGATATAATTTAGTTTAAATTCATATTTATGTATTTAAAAATGAAACATGTTTAAATATATTACTAATATATTACAATGTAATTAGAATTTTCAGTTCGTATATGCATATTTTTAAGCTTTGTTTCACATTATTCCAATAAAATGATACAAGAAAAGTCGCTGATTTAAGAATATTTTGCATATAAAATAAATTTCCTTTTCAAATTTCTTGTTATTTATGCATTACTTTAAGCGTAATGAAAATTTCCAAGTGACAACAGTGTATGTTAAAAAGCTTAAGGTACATTAATTGTCAAATTTTTATTTTGCACTATAGCTTTCTAAATTATGCATTAATATGAAATGTTAATCATAAAATGCAATTTTAAAATTTTAGTATCGCCAAAATGTTAATACTTTTATATAAAATTAAAAGAATTTTAAAATATTAAATATAGATTTACAACTATTTAATTTAAGAAATTTAATCAAAAACTAAGGTTTTCCAGGAGACAAACATATATATGGCTCACGTATTTCATATTTTTATTGCCAATTTCCCTTTTATTATAGAAATATTTCTGTTGCATACAGGAAAACGTGACTGAAATATATTTAATCCTGTTTTACAGTATTAAAATACTATAACACGTTTCAAAATTTCTATCAAAATATCCAACAACATAAAAATTCAGGATTTTCTTATCTCTAAAATCCTATTATACTTAGTGTTGGAAGTAATTTGGTCTACAAATGTGAATTTTACTCGGATTATTTATATAGGCAAGTTCCGCAAGTATTCTGTATATAATTTATGTAAAATGAATGAATGGGTTAAAGAAATTTAGAAGAAATAAATACGCTATTCATATAAAAATAAGAGTTTGTTTTCGAAGATAAATTTTTATAACTTGTTTTTTCTTATATTTCGCATAATCACTTTAACATTTTTTTTACTCTAATAAGTTATTTTGCTTTAACAAATTATGGACAAAAATATAAATTAATGAGTTACCTGTAACGTCAGAATATGAGAAAAACATTTCCTATAAAAGAATTTTTTTTTCTAATTTTTCATCAAAAACTCCTGCATTGTATGAAGTTCAGAATCTTTATTATAAAATAATTTGTAAGAAAAATATAAATGTCTCGCTCTGTGTAATTATTGACTATTAATGTATGTTCTATCTGTGATTAAATTTTGTAACTTCTAGCTAAAATTCTGAAAACATATATTATAGAATTTTAATTGTTAATGAATAAAGGCAGATTTTTACTTCTAATTTAATGCTAAGATGACATATTTAAATAATAATTGAAATACATCTTTAATGAATAAATAAAATAAAAATGGGATATTGTGATTTAAAAATATATAAAAATCAAATTTTTTGCTAAATCCAGCTTTCAAAAATGGTTTTATAGTAAACATACTATTAAACTATTAAAATAACCATAAAGTTTAAGGAAAATTAGCAGCAGAAATATGAAAATATAACCTAGAAAATGACATATAAAGAGAAACAAGCGAATACTAAAACAACACATGCTTCTACTTCTTTCCTTGGCTGGAGTCGTTGCCACAACGCGTTACATAATCTCATTCTTTCGTATCATTGGCAATCAGTCCAAGCACTCGTTATAGTAGACTAGATACGTTGAGTCCAACGTGCTCCAATAAAAATTATGGTTGATAGGCACAGCTCAATGTTCACAAAAATATAAGATGATATATAAAGTTAGAAATTTTCTTTAAAAACTCTTTAAATTATGGCTACTTTGTTAGATTACGTTGAGACTTCCTTTCCATTTTCAGGTCGAATCTTTAAAGCCTTATTTTTTCTTCTTATGCCCGAGATCATCCCATGCACTGAGGTCTATGTCAGGAAGCTCACTACAGTGAGTGACTGGATTCCTGTAAACAAATAACTGAAATTATTATCACAATATACTCTAGAAAATAACGTTACAAAGTGAGGACGTTTTGTATTATGCTATCTTCAGAAATTAAGCTTGAATTAGAGAAAAAAGAGAAATTACTTTTACTCTAGATCTATTTATAAGATATAATAAGATATTATTTAAATCTATTTATAAGAAGAGGATTAATATGTTGCTAAATCATAATACAGTTGCTTAATGTACTTTTGGAATTAGATCTAAACTAGTAACTTAATTAACTAGTAACTAGTTTAGATCTACTAGATATAAACTAAGTAGATCTAAACTAGATATGAACTACAGTAAGTAGATATAAACTACAGTAAGTAGATATAAACTACAGTAAGTAGATATAAACTACAGTAAGTAGATCTAGTGATCTAGATCTAGAAACTCAAACTGATAGGTTAAAGTTCTAATTCAGGTACAAATGTAAAAAACTTCACAAGGAATTAAAATTGCTTTTTAGTATACCATAATTTAATAACGACAGAATTGATTTAAAATTCTGAAAATTTCAGTATATTTTAACGTAATTTATTATAAACTCCCGAAAGATCGGAGGAAGGAAAAGAAAAGAAATCAAAAGTTACCATTTATTAGGAAGTTTTATTCGGAAAATTCATAAATATTTCGTTTATTTCCTAAATCTGAACATCTAATTAATTTTACATACGTAGTTTAATTTCTTTCTTGGTAAACTTTTCCCATGCATCTCCAAATATAAATATTCTGCAAAAATTCTTAAATAACCTCTTAAAATATTCTATAATAAACATGACTTCTTAAAAACTTTAATTAGTTTCTAAATGTTTTAAAGCCTGTGCGATAATGATGTTAATTAATATAATTCAGCTGTTTTGGATTCCTTATTTCTATGTTAGTAAAATAAAAACAAATTGTATCACACTGTCTTTAAATTACGTATTTAAAATATTTACATACATCTGAATTAAAGGTATAGCTTTAGATAATTTATAGCATTTAGTCAAATTATGATTCTATTAATGATAATTTTTCAATTTTCCGTGTAAAAGTATTAATTGCTGTACTGTAGTATAAATGTCTTTCTGTGACAAAGAAACAGTCGAACAGCTCCAAAGCATACGTTAATAATACAGCATAAAATAACAACAAAAATCTATAGCTTTATAAATGCATATTCTTTTTCAACATTTATTCAAAAGAAGTGGGTTGTTTATTCAAACTAAAGTTTGTGTTATAAAGCATTTAATATGGCTCCGCAAATATTAGTTCTAATAAGATTACAGTCTACAGGTTACTCGGATATGAAAGAAACAAAAAATTGAACCTGATTGTTAGGTAGTAGGTTGTTCTACGTCGTTCCGCCGTGGCCAGTCGTTGCGCATTTACGGAAATGCATGTGAAGAAATATTATGTTATCTTCATGTTTAATTTCGTCAAAGATAATTTCCCCAATAATTAAATTAGAACTAAATATTTTCATTTCTAATTATCAAAATACAAAACACTCTTTCTTCAACGAAATAAATTTTTATTTACTGTTAAGTCCTAAAACTACACAAACGGTCTCACTTTTATTTTGTTACTGTCCTAAAACTAAACTAAAATATTAATCCTATTTGAGCAAAACCGAGCGCACACCATGATCTTATTTAAATAAAGTATTACTTTCTTTATTAATAACGTAATAATAATATAATAGCGTAATAACGTATATAATACTTGCTTACTTAACGTTATAACAATATAATACTTGCGCTTTTAAAATACTCTTTGTATTGTCTTTATTTAATATTATTTAAATAAATGAAAAATTTAAACACATAGATGTAATAAAATCAACAACAACTTTTACTCGTTTTGGAAAGAACAACCAATCCGGATATTTGGTGCTCTGATAATTAGAGATATACTAAATTTTATTTCTAAACCATACTCTAAGAATAACACCATTAGATGAAATTAATAAAATAAACTGATTCAATCAGATTATTCTTCCCATTTATTAAAAAGTGGAATATTTTTTTTTTATTTAAAAGAAAAAAATTCTGAAAACTTACAGATTTTATATTACGCCTAAACGGACGTAATACGTAATATAAAATCATTTACAGACACATACACGAAAACATTAAATTCATTTACACATTTCAAGAGCATCTGAAATGTGTTAAAGTCACACTGGCTAAAAATATTTGAAAACAGCTTTCGAATTTCCGATAGACAGTCTCGCGCGCTGGAGGAAAAAATGTGCTATTTCTTACAGTGTTGCCACTGCTCGCTTTAAAATTGTCTAGTTTTTTAAAAGTATCAAACAAACAATAAAACAATTTCCAAATTTAAAATACGGGCGTCCATGGGCCCATGTTCTATGCAGGACTATGTTATTCAAAATTTGATGACTCTAGGTACCGTTGTGTTTTCACATTGCGAGAAACATACATACTTTCATGAAGACTCTTCATTACTTATTTTCTTTGAATATAATGCAGGGTATTAATATTTGGTGGTAACCGTTTGAAAAGTGATTCGGATCTTTCTAAATATATACGCAATACGCAAAGTGGATTCTCAGACAAATTCTGATGAAGAAATGGGAAAGAATTATGAAGGATTAAACATAATTGAATGAAAAGGCCACTAGAAAATGACCAACAAATCGCTTGCATTTTACCTTTAAGCTGGTATGTCATTTGATTTTATAAAAACAAAAAAGACGAGTTTTTAGAAAAAGAACTGAGTCGAAAAACATGTATAAATATCAATAAACATTCTTTGAAAGGGTATTGATTTTGCACATTTCCCACTTCTTCGAAAACTTTCCCTGTTGCATTTAGTAATTTATCGAGCGTTTTACATTCCACTGTTTAAAATGCGGTTTTCCATATCCTCAAGGAACTGGTACTGAACGAAACGCCACCAGCCATAGAATCTCCCAACTATGTAGAATTGGCGGAGTCGTAAAACCGCAACTTGCCAAGAAGTAACAGTAGGGAACAAAGTGGAACATAACGTACCCAAAACGTCACACTCTTCTGAGCTTATTATTGAAGGGAAAAGCTATTAAGGGATGATTTGAGGCACTACCCAGCGGGCATTCTCCGAATTCTGAAACATTTTCTCCTCTCCTGAAATGTAACAATGAATGGGATCTCCACGCTTTGTCGGCTATCTGCTCTACTGTCACCATGAGATAATCTTCTAATGTTGCTTGCAGTTCGTTGAGTAACCGGAAGAGTTATAACAGGTTTAAAAGCAGTGCTGTTAGCATGTAATTTGCTCCCATTCACGGCACTGAAACGAAGCTGTTAACATGCTTATTAAGCATATCAGATTGATCAGCATCAGTAAGAACGCTGCGTTTTGAGATTATGGTCTCTTCATCCATTCCTTCATTTTGATTTAGATCTTACCTAAATTTACTGATGTTAATTCTTTTTATTTGGCATGGAGTAAGAAATCCACAAATATAATTGTAAGAATAATTATTATTTGTAGACAAATTTTACATACAAATCCAAACTGATATTAGTTATGCTTTCAGATAAGAGCAAAATAAAATTTTCAAATGACATTTCATTTTTATAATAGACTCAGACCGATCGATTTGTAATACAGTCAGATATGTTTTAAAGATATGCACTAGAGGACATAAAATTCCCCCATCATATCAACTGCTGGCTTGATCGGCATTTCTCAACTTTTTCATCGTATAAGGATATACTTCACCTGGAGCCTTTTAAATTTTTATGATTACAAGTGACTACTAAATCTATAGCTAAGGGTACTGTGTATGTACATTATTTTTTATAATAATCCCATATTTACTAGCAATATCATTTCAAGACAAGATTTTTTTGTCTCTGGAAGTGCTCATTTTGTCCAAAATCATAGATTAAGTTTCTTTTTTTTTTTTTTTTTTTTACTTTTCTGTAGAACCACCACATCTTTTTTTTTTTTTTTTTTTTTTTTTCATTTTAAGTCACATGAATAAAAGTTCATTAAGTATGCGAGAGATTAGATACCAGCTAACGATTCGATTCAAAAGAGGAAACAATCTTTTGAAGAATTACAACGACTGACCTGAGATAACTCACTTTATAAAAGTGTGCATATGGGTCCATCTCTGAAGCACAAAATGCATATCAGGATATTTTTAAGTGATATATAAGATTCAGTGTTAATCTTTTGTCCTCTAGATTGAAATTATACGATAAAAATGGTCTATATTATTGAATTTTTAAAGATTTTGTGTACTGAGAATCCCCCCCCCCAAGTATTTGGATTTCCTCTAACATTAGAGAGCTTTAATCCAATTTGCTAAAATCTAAAACCCAAATATAATATTTGATTTCAAATCAGTGATTCTTAAGATATATTTTAGAATAACATTGACCACTGCATTATTTATTTTGGACTATAACGTGTACAGCCAAAGTTACAAATCAAAATTTAAAATGTTTTCTTTTCCCTTCCTCGTCTTTTGATTTTAAATAAACCGTAACTTACTTTATTATCATAATGACAAATTATTTTAATTCGCATGAATATTTTTTCCAAAGCCCTTTATTGTTATAATTAAAAAACAACTTTATTCATTTATTGTTATGATTAAAAAACAACTTTATTCATTTATTGCTCGTGAATCTTTTAATGCGAAATAATTGTAAAATGTATTGTATTTTCTTTGTAAAGGAAAGAGAAGTTTTCACATTGTAGAAAAATAATTATTAACTTCATAAACATCAAATATTCTCAATGGTTTCACATAAAACGCTAATATATCCTTAAATTATTTTATTTAATTAGCTAATACATTGACTATATTTACATTTAAATCAAATAGATATCAATTAAACAACCTTCAAGTATATGATTTTAGCAGAAAATTCATAATCTTAAGTGCACTACTAAGATTAAAACTTTGTAAAAAAACTAGATATATCTTCTCTTTTTTCTTTCACTTGTATTTATGTCTTTCATTGAGAAATTCAAAGTTGTTAATGTATATTATTCTCCTAAAATTAAAGTATAGAAATTTGTAGTAACAAAAATTTCGTTTTAAGACACGTGGCTAAGAATAATGATGCGTAAATACGTTCCAATAATCGCATTTCAAAATCTTAAATGTTGTGAGTAGATAACTATTATTTTTAAAACATAAATGTTTCAAGACAGCCATTGTTTCAAAATGGCCTTTGTTCAATGGCTGCGTTTTAGAAAATTGAATCCTTCAAAACTAGCGCACAAGAACATTTTCCATAGAATATCTTATTGTTGTTCATTACTTACTCAAAAGAAGCATAAAAAAAAAACAGGACACAACAACTGCGAAAAAGCGATAGGATTAATTAAAAAATTGTGTCCAAGAATTTTCCATCAGCATTTTTTTCACCATTGTTCAAAGAATACCTGCATACTGATGTCATAATTAATAATACCATTTCCTTGTTTTGCTTTGATGGATGCAATTTGTTTTGCATACTGAATGATAAATCGTCCATACGAGTGAAGAAGTAAATTTGGGACAGGCAGCTCATACTTACGATGATGATGGGAAGCGGAAAGCATATCGTTGTATTTCGTGAATATGGGTGTTCTGACAGATAATCTTGGAGAAAGGAGATTTCTTAATGGCTTCTAATTGCTCTGTAATTAGGAAAAGGAGATAAAATTAGCATGAATAACGTTTGACTAATTATCGAATCACATATACTATATATGTAACATTTTATATTTATTCATAATACCAAAGCATAGCAACAACTTCAAAAGTTTCAAGTTAATATTGAAATTAAAGATTCATTTGGGTGGAAAGTTGTCCAATAACTTACCAAGCGTGAAAGATCCTGTTTCCCCATGGTGTTCGAAATAATACCTATCCCCGAATTTCAAGTGATAGAATTGAATACCAATGATGCAGGCAAACGTTGGACCAACTACACCATCAGGAACTATGCTCTCTGACGTGCCTCCTGTGTATAAATCGATATCGTGCACAGACCTGGAGAGATCAATATCTTATTAATTTAGGATTATAATCATAAGCAAATGGATATAAAACAAAATCAGATACGAATTTCTAAAAGTAGGTTAAATCTGGCTCTTTCAGAACAGACCATAAGTAACTTTCGAAAAGTAAAGCACCTCGTGGGAAAAAGGGATAAAGAAGAAAATAGGGCAGAAAGCTAACATCATGCATTCTAATCATGTCATTAATAGAAACAACATACTAATATTTGATATTATATAGTTATAACGTTAATATCCCAAAGGGATAGTAAACATAATGCCTCATCTTATTTGAAGAATCTTTATTTTTCAAAATTATAAAAACATAATGACGTGTAATGCATGGAAAAAAGGAAAATTCTTTAAGTTTCTGTGTAATTAATATTAACATTAATTTTTTTTTAAGAGTTCGTTAAGTTCAAATGTTCTGTGCCACTATTTTTTAGTTACTCGAGCAACATTTAGGCGATAGTCAAATTCTTAAACATTCTTGTTTCGCAACAACTTTTGTTACTGTCTTCACAAGACGGGAAAAAATAGGCAGGGCACCAGAACTTCTTCAGTAGTTTTAGCAGTATAATGCCACCGCATTTACTGTACAGCTCTGTCTCAGTTTTGATGGAGAAACTTGGAAGGGCTCCCTTCTCTCTTACCCTGTTAACAAACCTGTTTACAGGACGTATAGCTAGTCAGATTTTAAGTGCCTCCAGTACTATACACTATAATAATACATACTATAGTACTATGCGACAGTACTACACACTTAGAAACATCCAAGTATATTCCAGTATTCCAATCCGGATCACACGCTACGATAGTTAGCATCGCTAACCATACGAACGGTTTACTATCTTCACAGGCTACGACAGGAAGAAGTGGAAAGGACACCAAAACCTCACCAAGGATTTTACAGGTATAGTCACATCGCCCTTGATGCACATTTCCATCCCAATTTTGATGGAGAACGGATCCATTGAAACGAAATATTTGAAATCACAAAGCAAGGACAATACGAATGTATCCAGAGGAAAAAGGCGTAAGATACCATGACTAATATAGAACATTACATCATCTTGCCTTCATAGACACATGCAGCAACTGCCTAGTTATCCTGCATTTACTGTGGATATATCATTTACTGAAACTGCCGAAACCACTTAGCCCTATCGAATATAGTTTCAGTTTCTTAGAATTTACAAAATTGGCGCTAGAGGGCATTAACCATTTAAATCTGGTAAACGGCAACACATAAAGGCCTTCTACTAAAAAAATAATGTATTTTTCATAGTTAGAGTTAAGCGGCTTTTTATGCACGAGATGCTATTCTGAAACTCGAACATTTTCTTTCATATTTGATGCGTATCAAATCAAAGCATGATTAATAAGAAATAAACTGTTTTGTCTGAAATCAATCATGGTTTTTTAATAATCATGCATTTAGGACAACAATCGTTCATCAATGTGACTATAAAATGCATTAAAAAAGATATAAATTCCAGCAAGAAAACAGCCAAACAATGCAAAAGTTAAAAAATATAAACGTACTTTAAAATTAAAGAAATATCGATATTTGTATCTTATTGAAGTAGTGGCGTGGCTTTCTGGAATAAAAACATATTTAACTAGAAATTAAAAATTATTGTCTATTAAAAATCTAAACTAATTTTAAAAGAACAAGAACAGACACTTTTATCGCTTTGTATTTATTTTTTCCAGCAGTTATTTTTATTCCTATTTTTTTGGTCATTTGTGGTTTTTTCCAGCCTAAATTTTTTTTAATTAAAACTATTTCTGTCACGTATACACGTATGATTTACGAAAATTAAATTAAATTTTAAAATCTGAAAATCTTCTCTCTTGATGTGACATTATATTTAATATATCTTTTAACATAATACTTTACATTTTTTAGAATTAAAGGTGCATAGTACCTAGATGTAATTTGTCCTCTAAGTGCAAATTTATTTGAACTAATCGTCACTTCCATGACAGTGGTTAAGTGTCAAGGGAAGTTGAAAAATTCTATTTCAGAAAGCTAAGTAACATTATTACTTAGCTTTAAAATTTTATATAGGATAACTTAATTTTTTTTCGTCTACAATATGCAGAAGAAAGAATTCTTCGTCATTAATGTCGTATTGATCATACTGTTATAGAAAATGAGTTGTTGCAGCGGCAGTATTAATTGGAACTGTGATTTATAAGCAAGGTTAGTCAGTTTGAATATCTATTCAGGTAGATTATCTCATTCGTATTAACCTACCTTGGTAACCTAACCTACATATTCAAGTTACTATATTCTTGCAACCAATAAAATTAATTATAACTCTGAAATTATGAAACATCTTAAATTTATAAGAAAATGTTAAAATAATTAACATTAAAGATGTAATACTTAGAAATTACAGAAGTGTTAATTTACAGTAACTCTGAAATTTATTTACAGTACGGAGTTTGTGCGGCAGGGGGGTCACTCTAAATATACGGCGAGGTGAAATTCCTCTCGAGAGTTTGGTGGTAGAAGAGGATAGGAGATCCCCAGACCCTCGCCCCTCGGATTGCTCTTTCTAGAATTGGGGGAGAAACTGAGCTAAAATTATGTTGTCACCTGCATGGTGTTCAAGGTTCTTGGCAACGACAAGCGCATTTGCTTCCTTGCCATGATGAATGTCGTGGGCTTGCGCTGACCACTGTCAGACAAGTGAGATTAGTAATGACATCAACAATATTTTAAAGGGAAAATGATGATTGTTTAATGTAAGAACAATGCAAGAAAAGATGTTAAATCGCTCATCCAAAGAATGGACTGCCTAAACTCCTGGTACTTTGATCAGTTCAAATAATTTAAGTTACAAGGAAACTATAATCCTCAAAGAACAGATTGCTCATTAAATAATTCAATACACAGTTGTCTTGGCGCTTTTAAAATATGTTTTAAGGTTCCAGCTATTTCAACTGAATAAGACACTAACATTAACACTGCCTTTTGAAATTTAGCCTTCTTATTGTACTACAGATATAAAATGTTTACGAAATATTACTTACTGATATACATCTTGAAGTCTCTTCCTCCTCTCTGGACTCATAAACCTATCCAAATCTTCAAATGTTTTGACTTCTACTCCAAAACAGTACTGTATATAGCTAGTATATCCTGGTACGCCATGGTCACGTCCTCTTTGAATATTGAAAGCAGCTAAATCTAAGCCAGTAGCGTTGCCACGCCGCCTGTAATAATTACATTAACTTGAAAAGAGAAAATATGGGTAGCATAAGAATTACATAAAGATTGCTATACTACTGGGTTTCTAAGAAAGCTCCAAAAGTTTTTATTATTAAAACATTAAACACTTGATAATTTAGTAACTGAATTTCAGGGGAAAAAGTATAACTAGATAAATTTATTGAAATACATTTTATTTCCCTCATTATTATAAATTCTTTTTAAAAGAATTTCTCCAGGACAATCCAAATGCAATTTTGTTTTTAGTTAAAAATGTACCCCCTTTATGTCATGTTATTAGGAAGATCAAATACCATTATTCCATCTGTAAGTAATCATGAATTTGTTTTAGTTATATATAAATGTGTTTTTTATAGATCATTATTACAAAATGCGATTGCCATTAACGTTTTCAAAATCTTAATTTTGTGTATTCTTTCTCTTTAAATTTCTTGTAAAATAAGTGCACCATTTTAATGAGATAACCCATATTAAAATTATTTTCCTGTAGTGCAGCATAACGAATAATACTGAGCATTACTGCCGAAAAAATACGGGTTGATTATTTTTGTAAATTTTTACCAACTAATTTTCTTACGAGAGAAATTAAAAGAACTATGGGAAACATGAAACGATTTCTGTGTTATTGAAATTATACGTATTCTCTAACTAATTCATAAATTTATGAAATGAAAGATAACATTTTATACAAAGACTTGATTTTGTGTAGGAAAAGCAATTTGGACGTTATAAATTAATTAAGAAAATTTTAATAAAAACTTAAGGGAACATAATAATAATTTTTTCACTGAAAAACAGCAAGCAATTTTAAATGACTGATCTGAATACGAAATATTTTTCACGAATTGTTTATAATACCATATTTACTTTTATAATCCTCAACACACCATTTAAAAATGCGAACAAAAAAAGTAACTCCATTCTGTAATGCGATATCTTTACTTAGTAGTACAAGCATAAAAATACCGAGATTTTACCCGCGTATTTCCCCCTCACTTTTCCTACAATTTCTACTGCAAGAACTGAAAGGGGAGCCGGACGCGGTGTGTATTATTTCTAAAGAGATGGCTAAAATGATAAGCATAGCATATTAAAAAGCACACTCTGATATTATATTAAGTATTTCAAAGTTTTCCGTTTCGGTTTATTTAAACACGTAAGAGCTATCTGCCTAAAGGAAGAGATGCCTCGTGGAGGCCTTTCTAAAAAAATCTGGCTCGTAGATACGCCACACATAGGGAAAACCGCAAAAACACCCATGCAGCCAGCCTGGTTCCCTGGAATCAAGACCAGGTCGGAAATACCAGTGTTCAGCGACTTTACCGCTCGCCATTGGTAGGCCCTGTATTTTAAAGTACAGATTGTTCCTAGCACTTCGAACAAAATGTGCACATACCTCATGCGGAGAAGCAAAAAATAGATTTTAGCGAACTGTTGCGAAGAATAAAAAATGTAAACAAATACGGCAATTATCGCAGATACGTTTTGTGGTTGCAAGTTCATGAACATTCTAGGTACTTTAGTACAGATTTAACGCTTCATCCTCAAACGGTGCTCTTGCTTGAGTGATTGTATGCAGTTGTTATCATTCACCATATCTTCCTCAAGCAGATAAAAACGATGATTTCTGACCGCTATTATGCCAAAGTGCGCAAAATGAACCAATAACTCGCCTGAAAGAGTCAGCACTTGTGAACCATAGTGTCTTTATGTTGCATGAAAACATATATCCCAAAGTATTACAATAACCCAGCTAACATGATATGAGTAGAATTATTAATCTCTTCTTCACTTACTATATTTCTTAAACCTGTTCCCAACAGATAATAACTTTTTTGCCGCCTGAACAAATTCCTTTTCTGTCGGAGTTTCAGAATTACAGCGATGTTTGTCAGGTGGTTTGGAAATTTTGAGATCAAACCGCAGACTTCTTGTTCCAGAAGACGATTATGGCAAAAATAGCGTAGATGCCGAGGGGGACTATTTTGTTTATGGTATTCATCATATTGTTAAGTTTATTGTATGTGAACGTGTAGGTCAAAGTCAGTCATATCAAACGCTTTAATTCAATATATTTGACTAAAAGGTTTTAATACTCTCACAAAATAAATAAATAAATATGTAATTTTTTAAAATTAAAAACTTAAAAACTAAAACATTGCCTAGTATTTAAGGAGTTTAAAATTGAACAATGGATTAATGTATTAAATTTCGAATAATATTCACTATATACCTGTACAAGAAATTCCTGACATCGGGTACTAAGTATGGATCGAATTTCTGCGATGGTTGCAAAGTCAGTCCTTTCACAAGAGGATCCAGTTGACCATCATAAAGCTCAAATGGGAAGAAGAAATAATTCCTGAGCATAATGCCAGAAATATGTCCTGAATGCTCCTGAATTTCGCTGAAAAGTCCATCGATCAACGAGTGGCCATAACGATATGCAGCTGTAGAAAATTCATTAATCATTGTAGGTTCCATTTTGGAATTATATTGTGTGAAACCGGAGTCTAATACCCACAGGCTGTAGAAATCCATATAGTGGGCACCCAGAACAACAGGAAGATATTCACCAAATACGACCTTCTGAAATTGTGCGCTGACTATTCGCCTAAGGGAATAAAAATTTAATTAAATGGCATTATTTTTATAATTCCATATTTACGATATTCATAAAGGTCAAAGCGAAAAAAATATTAACACTGTGCATATTAAAAACATTCAGTTAAACAGTAATACTGTTGTACATGACAAAATTATTTAAGTATTATTTCGAAGCGGTCATTTTATTTTACTTTTCATAAAATAAAACATAACAATTCTAAAAATGCAATAAGTAATAATTTTAATTCAAATGCCCGTGCTCAAATCTCGGAGAAGGCATGGATGTAATTTTTTGTCCCTTCATAGGAGGCAAAGGTGGCCTACCTATTTAGGTGCCTCCATAATAAAGTGACCACCACTTCTGGCCTTAGTTGTAGCCAAACCGAAGTCAGCTGAGGGCTCGCCATATCTATTTAATTTCTTTAAATATAATACAGGGCGATAACATTTGGTGGCAACAGTTTGAAAAGTGAAACAACGTTTATCGTGAACCAACGCAAAATGCCAAAACGAAATTAATAGCCCTTCTGGGCAAATAGCCCCTTTGGAATAAAAATAATTTTAATTCTACAAAAAAATTTAAGAATAAATATTTTTCCAATATTCCTTAAGAAACACATATTTTAGTAGATTCATAAATATGGTAAATGTAACTTCATAACAGTAAAATTTATAATAATTAAAATAATTACAAACAACAAATTTTAAACAAGTTATCTTTTCTTACAGTTTATTTTATTAAATTTGTATGCAATATTAGTTTCTTACATAAATTAAAATATATAAGCTAATTTTTAAACAGCTATAACTTACGCACCTTGCTTCCCAGAACAAAGTTTCATCATCCCAATGAGGATTTATATGCTTCAGACCATCACACACCCGATTATGTTGTCTCATCCATATAGTATGCAAAGATGTGAGAGCTGGATGTTGGTTTACTCTTGCATCACCTAATTATATAATTTATATAATACTAGATACAAATGGGAAAAAAAAAAAAAAAAAAAAAAAAAAAAAAAAAAAACGCTTTACATATATATATATAAAAGCATTCATTTAGGTGTCTGAACGAAATAAGGCTATAAACCTGCTCTTAAATATTTCCTTAATTTTATATCCCATTTTAACAAGATAAAAATCATAAAATTACTTTATGTGATATAAACTTTCTAAAAAGAATAAAATTTGTTTTTAAAAAAATTTCATTGGGTGTATCTTGCCCTCCAGTATAAGTAAAACAGAGGGAAATGTATTGTGAAATGCAGTATTAGTTTTAACAGTTCACACCAGATGGCAGCACTAAAGTTTTCAACATCTTTTGTGGGAATTGAAATGCACGAAAATCCGAGTTTCATGCGATAAATTTTGCAAAATTTCTTTTGCATTACTTTCAGCTCTAAATTTCTCATTATTTTAATGGCGCATATGAGAAAAAGTTCATTTCTAGACAAACTGATCTTGTTGCGCTGAAATGTATCAAAACTTATTTCTGTCGATATTGAAAGGAATTTTGCAATGTAGTGTATATTCATTAACTTCATATTAAAATTAATTCAAGATCTTTCTTCTAATTCTTACACTTTAAGAAATTTTAAATTGACTTTAGTATGAAGGAAAAACAAAACAAAAAAATAGCATAAATTAATGCAGCCATTTAAAGCACTGACGTGCAAATTTGATTTACCTTAAGACTGCTTGAATTTTATTACACTATTTCTAAAGAAATTTTGATTAAACTTAGTAAAACACGACATAAATTTAGGGAAGATTTCTGAAGATATTTATTCAGCGTATAATAATAATAAGTTCGAAATTAGAAGTCAGAACGGTACATATATCTTAGGATGATAACAAAAAGTTACGGAGGAAAAGAATTTTTTTGCACTGCATTTATTTGCAGATTTTAATTTTTAATTTCTTTCTATATTTCAACCACCTCATATCTCCTTTTTTTCTTACGTTGACGTTTGTAAAATTAAGCTTAATTAACAACAACTTAAAACATATATGAGTATTCATATTTTATGAAAGTTGCATGTAAGTAAAAAGCTTAGAAATGTTTTTTGCTTTCTTTTGCTTATCCCTTCTCTTTCCTCCCTTTTTTTTTTTTTTTTTTGGTAATTTTTGAGATATTTATTTGTTGAAAAAAAATGTATATTTATAGCTCATATTCACTATCTAATTAAAAAATGTTCAATTTATGAGTTGAAGATTTTCATTCCTTTTATAATGTTTGTCAATTATTGAAATAATCTAAAATCTATGGAAATGAAAATATATGAAATATTTTGGGTCAGAATAATAAATGCGTACAAAATAATAGCATCAATTCAGTGAAAAAAAAAAAAAAAAAGGTAATAATTCTGCATATAGTAAACCCTTTTCTTCAGTTTTAATTAAAAAACAACAATGTTTATAATTTACGGGATAACTAACTTTTCCTCTATATAAAACATGAATAGTTTTAACAAGCAAATAAAAACATTCTGGCAACAGCCCTAACAGTAGACGCAGCGTGGTTATAGGAGTAATATACTTTCTTAATAATAGCGGATTTGAACCCGAAAATCCGAAAATCTTAGAAGATAATGTTAAAATGTGTATTATAATTGAATATTTTTTGTCAAAAAATATTTTGCTTTAAGAGAAGATGAAGAGCATTAGATTATAAAATATTAAACATCTCGTAAAGGCTCAGGGAAAGCTAATTTTTAATCCAAAATTCAATTATAAAAATATGTTATTATTTTCATGAGATATTATTCCAAATTTTTTTTCGGAAGAAAAAAAGAAAAAAGGAAAGAAAATATATTTTTACAAAATTTTGCTAAAACTTAGAAAAATACAAATCTCTAACGCTCAAATTATTCATAACATGAATATGATAATTTGTTTTTAAACAAATATAGGAGCATTTTCAAATAAAGAATGAAAGCCATAGACTTTGAGTTTATTTTTAACAAGTGATGTAAGAACTTGAAGTCGTTTATCATATAAATAAATATATTTTATCATATTACCTGCTCTAAAACAGAAAAGATTTCGTTGAGGAACACTGCATTCATCTTTCTTGGCATCTCCTGTTTGTGGAAGAAGATCACCAGTGTGGGGAACTTTAGTTACGATAAGCTTACCTAAAATCAAAAATAAATTATTAAAATACAAAACGCTTGTATAAAAACCAGCCCAGTATGTCTTTAGGATAATTCAACATTTAAAAATATTCCATTTAAAGGGAATTGCAAAGCACAAAAAAATGCACAAATCTGCGGTTCTCAGAACAATTAACGCAAGTTCATTTTTTAAGTTAAGTGTTTATCAAAACTGCTTGATCTATGAAGGGAGCTTTTTTAGTATCGGGAATAGTAAGTTCTAGAAGATGCTGAATTTTATAAGAAGACCCAAATAAGGATTAAATCTAACTGCTCGAATGCCAGTTTGCTGGGCATCAAATTTATCGAAGTTTTTTTTTTTTTTTTTTTTTTTTAAATAACCAGTCGGTTCAAGCTTCTTATGACATTTTTTTCGAGCCTAAACTTTTGGGTCATTTCATAGCTTTGACTGATGCAGGGATTTAATTATTGTTGCTAATTAAAATAATAGAATTCCACCAACAGTACTATAACTTTATGGTATGCTTAATACTGTGATATTTCTTGATGGCCGAATATCTCGAAATTCCTTGGGCCCATGAAATATAATGACACCCTATTTGGCACAGAGACCATCTGCTCCACATATTGCAGTTAAGCAGTTTTTATAATAATATCTTATAAAAATCTCTAAATATTTACGTATTAGGGCCAGTATACATTGAATACTGAAACGATTTCAATTATGTTTTATCCTAAGTGAATTTTTATTGAATTTCTTATATTTTTACGTACAATTCAAAAAGATCATATCATGAGATTTTAAACAAACGTAAAGCACATAGTCAATGGAGGTAGGTTTCCGTTTTTATTTAGATTAAAAAAGAACGGGGAAAATATTTTTTCTAAGAGTTATTTAAAAAAATAATTTAAAACCGCATATATTTTTCAAAATTATTTGTTTTTTTATTTAAAACTTTAAATCCTTTTCCGCTCCGCTTGCTATAACACTTCAGGTTTTCTCTTTAGGTTATCTAAAGTATTATTTTTATATTTTGCCCTTTTTTTTTCTTAGTTCGCAACTATTCTGTTGTAAAGGTTGCAGCTTTGTGAATTTTTGATGAAAATATTTTTGGCATTTCACGTATACAATACAAAAAAACTTTTCAGCACCATTTAAAGCTTTAATTAAAAAAAAGAAAAGTGAAACATCGCTAGGACTAGGCTGTCCCCAAAATTATTGAACGCATTTCTTACAAATTTTACTAAACTATCAAATTTTTATTTCAAAATACTATAAAATACCAGTAGTAACTGAGTTAGTTATAGCTGGAAGCATCGAGATAAGGAAAATAATGTCTAGAAAACAACGTGAAAGAAGAAATATGGTGGAAAAATTGTTACGATGGAAGGAAAAATGGCAAAGGAACTTCATAATGCAGACATTTTGGCACAAGACACTAGGATAAAGATAAAAAACAGTTAAAGTGTGGTAATGTCCTAAACATAAAATATTATATAACCGTACCTTCGATATTAGCATTTCATACGTCCGAGACATGCTTCTCAAGTCGTGATATAATCCTACATATGAGTATTTCATTAAAAGAGCAAAAGTAGAATAGATTTAATTATTCTAGTTTTTAAACATTACTAAACTTGCATTTATAAAATATTCAATCAAATGAGAGTATCTGAAATTAAAGCTCAAAGCTATATGAAAACATGTGAACTAAGGAACTAATGCCAGCCAAGTGACACTAATCGGTTGACTGATTTTAATGAAGACAAAGCACACAATGGCTATTTTCCAAAGGAAAGGACGCTTACGGGGAGATACTTTATGGGAAACTAACTCGAAAACTTTTAGCTACTTAAAAATCTCTTAAATGAATCTGATGTTAAATTTTTATTTATTTATGTCATGAGTTTTCTCGCTTATGATGAAAAAAAAATTTTTTTAAAAAAATGAGCAAATTCGTAATACTTTCTAAGAAATTTTAATCGCTAAAGTTTATTGTTTGATTTAATTAACATCACCATACTTCAGTTATATTCGATATAAAATAAAATATATTTTACCATCTCTGAAAGATCTAAGAGCTTCAGTTTCATTTTCCTGACTACCGTACACGTTGGAAGCATCCACGAAAGCTGTCACTTGATCCATTTGTTGTCGAGGACCTAGGAAATGGAAATTTGATTATAAGTCAATTTAAGCATGTTACAAAATGAATTCTATTCGTTTCATCTATATGTACATTAAAAACATATTGTAGGGAATGAGTTAGAAATGCAGATTAACGGGATAAAAGGAAAAATGCCGAATAACTATCACGTTGAAATTTTTGCTAAAATACATAAGTTATTTGGAGTATTCACAAAGTAGCTATAAATCTCTCTTAATGACTTTTTGTCACTCGTTTCTAATTTTAAAAAGAAATAAAATAAAAAATGTCTCTGGAAATTTTGACTGCATGACATTTACCGAATAAAAAATAAAATATTTAATATTTTTCCGGGATCCGCAGAAAAAATTTTATATCAAAGAGAAACATTTTTTATATAGATGAAATAATCAAATAAAATGGGAAAAAAGACCATATACAGAAAATCGAAATTAACCGCGATTTTTATTAAAATGATTTATTTGTACGTAACTATTGCTAAACACACGCAAATATATGACATTGTTGAAGATAGGTAGACAACTTTCATAATGAAATAATTCTCTAATGCAAATTTTCTAAATGATAATTTAAATTTAGAAACAAATCAATTTCGATGCATTGGTTTTAAGCTGTCATATATTAAATGCTAAAATTTCCATTTTAATTTTTAAAAAATTTAATAATTTTAATTTCTAATAAAAAAATAAATTTAGTTTTATATGATCGATCCCTTTTGTACTGGATAAAAATTGTTTAGTGTCTTATAAATGTTTTTTCTAATCCTGTTTTGAATATAAAAAGCCTTCCCCGCTCCTTACAAGACATTTGTTGCGATTACCAACAACTTATTAACTGGAGTTTACAAACTGGCAAGAGATCATATATGAAGTTTTAAATGCAATGCACTTTATTGCAAGGGTTTATTTGATCACAAATACCACAGTTCTAGTCTTCTTATTTGAATCGTTTCATAAATTGGAATCGTAGATCAAAAGATAGTATTCTTTCGACCTTTTTGAAACCAACATATTATTCATATGCAAGCTTCTAGCCAACTAGTGAACAAAGACTTTTAAAATAATGTTAATTGCACAAATATTTTTATTTTTATTGGCTGAAAATACCAAGAAAAAATGTCTAATGACACCGATCACATTTAAGTCAAATCTTTTATAATGAAATAATTAGTACTTTAAAAGCGTAGTAAAAGAATATTTCTACTTTTAAACAATTCATGCTTTGAAAGAGTAACTAAAGAGAATTTTAAAATTATTTAAAATATGAATTTTTAGTTAGTAATAAAAATATGTTCAAACTTCATAAATATGCCAAATTTTTTATCGAATAGAAACCAGAAATCATTGTAACTTTCAGAAGAGTAAGCTTACGAATTAATACCACTAGCTTACTCAAACATTTGTTCATTAGCGATAGAATTAATAAAGTTAATCTCTTTAAACTTTCGCTAACATTTATGTTTTATGTCATCAGTCTAATAATTAGCACAATTTTGAAAAAACGGTCTTCTTTTTCATGCTGTGATTTACCTCGATCTGGGATCATACTGATTCAGGTGCCCTGCTAACAACTAATATGATACGACTAATATAATAAAATGAGACTCGGATTTTTTTTAGTTTGTCAATACATATCAACATTGCGCATACAATAATCCATAAATCCTTTTCCTTACCACTCTTTTCACGTGTGCTCGCTGAAGTAGCGCTTTTGGTTTCTTTCAAGAATTTTACATTTCCTTTCACAATTCAGTTAACAGTTTTGTGCAAGGAAAATGATTTTTAGCTTGTCTCATAATTTGTTTTGCACTTTTCAAAATCTCCCATTTCAAAAATGTTTCAATTAAAAATTAATGTTTTCTAATCATTCCCTTAGGAGATTATCAAATTGTATTTAATTAATATATATATACATATATATATATATATATGTATTAGTTACATTTTTATATTTTGTCACAGCCTCTTTTCATCTGCCAATAAAGAAAACTAAACATGCCATATTTATTTATAATAATAGGATTATAAAATAGCATATATTATAATTGTTTTAAGCATTCCTGTTAGAAGTTTGCAATGTTTTAAAAGTTTTAAACAAATTAAAATCAGATAAACCTAAGACTAATTTTTATTCATTTATGGATTTAGTAAAACAGTAGGAAAATTTGTAATTTTCCAGTGAATTTTACAACTAAAATATATGTATGCTTTGTCATAAAATTCATTCATTCTTCCATTATAAAGATTTTTATATCTATTGAAACTCATTACATTTCTCCTTAAAAAAATGTTACTTTTTCTATAAAACACAGCTACAAAAATACTACTAAAACTATAAAAATATAAAAAATTCAAATCAAGGTTTTATGTACATTGCTATAAAAGTGCTTGATCAGTATTATTTATTTACAGCAAAACATGTTAGGGTTTCTTAAAGTAATAGAAATTACTGTAATTCCGTACTAAATTATGCTTGCATTTACACGAATATGTAATAAATACATTCATCTGAAACCTTATAACTTACCAAGAGTACAAAGTGGGCAAGGCGCCGATCGTACAAAATTTAGACAATCTTGACCATACTTGGAGAAAAAGGGATCATCCTGAGGTAAGAGTACAGGAAAACATTGAGGATGAGTATTGTTGGAATGTGGACAGCACTGAATCATCTGAGCACCACCTACGCGTGACATAAAGAAAAAGGAAATAAGTAAAAGGCAAAAAGAGAATGCAAATAAAAGGTTCTCAAGTTTCAATCCTATTATTTTAGGAAACCTCCCAAAACCAAACTATATACTGTTGTTACAATAATTACATTTCTTGCAATTTAACTGTCTCATTTAGACTCACTTATCAATATTTGGCATATATTCCTTTCTAGAGAATCAAAATAAAACATATTTCCGAATGTTAGCTGATTTATATGTAAGACGATAGCTAAGAATTCGCTGCAAAAATTCAGCCAAAGTTAAAAACCCGAGTAAACTTCGAATTTAAAATCGCCCTAAAAATCCAGTTATTTGCATTATCAAATGTGCAGACAATCGATCTTCTAGCCTAGCTAGATTCAAGGTTACTATACTACAAGGTTTTACTCTTCCCGAGAAAGAATATTTGAGCACTTGACGTAGCTGATTCATAGTCTGCTCAAAAGGAGCTACTCTGTTGGGGAATTAGATGTAATTACGTCTTAATTTTCCCCAACTTCTGTTAAGTCAAGTAATGTCAATGAATTCGAGCACCATAATCTTGTCTGCTAATGACCTTGGTTAGATCTGTCAGATGATTTGAAGGTGAGTGTCAATTAAGATTTAGTTTTTATTTTAAAATACATGGATGAAATATCGAGGAATAAAAAAACACTTTGGACGCCGAAAATTTCTGTTTCTCGGACGTTTAGGCGTGGTAACTATTTGGCGCTTTGAAAATAGTATGGCGAATTTTGTTTAGTTCCAAGTTGTGGTAAGCAATTACAAGACATTTTTCTTCGGTTGTGTTCTGTAAAATACAAACTTTCATTTCTGTTATATAATTACACTTCGCGAACAAGGAAGGATTATGTTTTCTGCTAGCTTTAAACTAAATATTTTCACTTCATTGAGCAATGTTTTCGATGGAATTAAACATAATACTATTGGTAAACTGGCGGATTACAACGAGGTTAATGGTGATATGGAATACGATATGATAACACGATATGTTATTAGTGATATGAAATACGATATGATATCAATGATGTTAATTCTGAAATGGAAGACTTTGTCATGCAGCCATACTTGCCTCTAGCAGACAGAGACTTCTCAGAACTACTAGAAAATTCCGAGTCGAATACCAACATTTATAGATTTAATTAAAATTAATGAGGTTGAAGTAAAATAAAATTAATGTCTTTCAGTTATTTTATATATAACATAATTTTTCTGATCGAAGTAGTTTATAATACTTCCGAGCTCGAAAACCGATTCTTAAATTTCAGCAGTAAAGTATATACTAAACATTTTTAGCTTCTAAAAAGAAATACTTCTATTAGGCCAATACCTGAACAAATGACTGCTCAAATGAATGTATTTTCCTTTCAAGCACGGAATCATGGCAGCGTAAGAGGTAAGACTATCAAAATACCAAGTTTGATTTCGTATGCCGCAAAAGAATATTCCAGAAATAACTTTTATAACATTAACATTTAAATTTATTAAATACTTTCAATCGTATTTTAAGACTTCTGATGTATAACATTTAAATATTTCTAGGTTAAAAATTAGATAATTGATAAAATCATAATTTTACATAAGTTATGAATAAAACTTCTGCGCTGATTGTAAAATTCTTTCACGATTTCATTCAAATAAACAATTAATTATACATACATATCACAAAATACTTTTACAAAATAAAGATATTATTTGCAAAATACATGTTATAATCATAATTAGTCATTAGTATATTATATTATTACGTAAGTACTAATTAGTACATAAATATTACAGGTTTAGTCAATTTGCTGCATGTATAAATAATATTAATGATAATATTGTAATTGTTATTAATGCCATTCTTTTGTTATAATTAGTTTCATTCATTTTTTATAGTTTATGTTATTAGTGTTATGTTAAAATTTTAGGCAATAAAATGAAACATATTTCATATTAGTAGATTTGTTGAAATCATGCTATTTTGAATAAAGTTATTAGTTGGTATCTTCTGGTGTCAATTATTAGTTGTGAGATCTTACCTTCGTTTTTGAGGCGTGTTATAAGCAGTTAGAGCTGGTTATTTTATTTCACTTACCATTTCGATGTTTAGCGATTTCAGATTGGAATGCATTTCATTTCTGCTATTGAAAAGAAAATTTTCTTCATTTATATTCTAGCACTTTTGGCGTTTTTCTAGGGATAAAATATTCTTAATTGCTTGTGATAATAAAAGTACGAAAATGTGATACGATAATATTGTGGAGATATTAATCTTCAGTAAGCTTCGGTATGTTTCTTATTATGCTTTGCAAACTTTTGTCTTGGCTGTATGAATGAGTTAGTTTTTTATCTCTTTCATTTCGAAAAAAATTCTTATATTTCTCATTCCGGACCTTTTCAAAAAAAAAAAAAAAAAAAAAAAAGTTAAACTTGATTATGATTACTTAAAAATATTATAAACTTATTGAACAAATTATTGCCGATTTATAGACAGTTATCGATTACTGTTGTCAAAGGAATTGTTTAGAATTGAATTAGTTAAAGACATGAAGGTTTTAGAGGCCAATACTAGTTTTTGAATTTTTCATAAGTGTCCTTAAATCATTTAAACATATACACAAATACTGTTTGTTTATAGCAAATACGGCGAAATTGTTTTTATTTGTTTAGTATTTAATAGAACTAGAATATACTTTAGACTGCTATATACTTTTAAACATTTAAAAATACTTGAAGAGAAAAATATATTTTGAGGTATGTAGAGTTCCTCACTTCGGAATTCTAAGTTAATGTTGGAAGGGAAGAATTTAAGAACTGATAAGCGAATAATCGCTTGAGTTCGGTGACAAGAAACAACAAGATAGAAGGGTAGCTAACCCTTTATTATTCCAATAAGATTTAACAAAACTCCGCCTGGGAGTGTACAAGCAAAGCCCGCCCTTGGACTTGAACTTAAAAGACTAAGAATTAAACTAAAACTAAGATTAACTAAAGAAATATAGCCGTAGCTATCAAGGTTTAAATCGAGTTGGCCCCTTAACTTATTTGACTACGAAGCTTAGCAAGGGTCTGAGTACGGGCCGAGCGTAATAACAGCTTTGAGAGAGAGAGTGGCCAAAAAGTCAGACGCGCGTAAATCAGAAACTCTGATTCTCTCTGACTCAGTAAGTAACTTCGTGGTTTAAATACCGCTCCTGCTCATTAAATATTCAGCAAGATTCTAAAAGTACGTTCTGGCCAGAAGTAGTAAGTTGAAGTTAAGAATTTGACAGGAAAAAAACTTTAACTTAAAATTTAACTGTTAATAAAATTAACATAATTCTTACAGGTATATTTCTGGCAAACTGAAGTTGGTGCTATGAAATTTCATTCATAAAATTATTTAATAGGTAACAACAAGAGCAAAAAATTTCACTGAACTTTATTTATACTGAAAAATTCTGTCTTAATCACTTTCAATATATACAGGAATTAATTAAGTTAATTAAGTTTGTAATTAGCTTTTCTTCAGTTGGGTTATATATAATTGAATCATGTGCCACGTTTCTTCTTTTTTGTATAAAATACGTATTCTACAGAAGTTATTTAGTTTCAAATTAATGCATTAAAAATATCGGTACTTTTCCGTTTTGCCGGCGCAAGCGATAAAGTCGCCAATAATGGTACAACCGATGCCAAACCGAATATTCTCGGTGGTAACCTTTTACGCCCCAATTTCAAAACAAGTCGCAGCTTTTTCTTATCAGATTGATTGTTTCTTTCAATACTGGCATATAATTACATAGAATTTTTATCAGATAGTTCAGTTTTATGTCTAAGGCCATTTTCGGTAATTAAGTCAATTAGGATGCAATTAGAGCGCTTACCCGAAGCCGAAAATATAGAAAAGGTAAAGTCAAGGGTTAAATTCATCCATTCTAATGAGAATGCATTAGCGAAGTAAAGCACTACAATTTTACATAATTTCTGAGTAAGCTATTCGTACGAATTGAAATATTTCTTGCATTTAAACTTGTGTTCCAAATTAAGATTTAACTTAAATTAATGTAGATAATTACTGAGAGCATTAGATTTTTGTAGAGTAGTTTACGTGAGATGAGATCGCTTGGGGTCACGTGATATGAACCGGGGAATCAGGGAATCAGGATGTTCAACCATGAAAGCATAGTAAATTCTTAAATTAATGTCTTTTTACAAATTTATTGTCTTTATTTATTGGCTTTTTATAAAATTTTAAGCGATATTAAAATGTTTATGCCTTCTTTTTTAAAAGAATTCTTAGAACTAACAATTTTTAATATTTTTTATGTGTATACTGTATGTTGTCGCCAATAAAGTCTGCTTGGCGAGATTTGCGCCGGCGAAACGGAAAAGTACCAAAATATCTTCTTAATTCTCCTGAACTAAACAAAAAGTATTCTATTTCCATATTTAACATTGCTTCGCTTTAAAGTATTATTATTATTAAATTTATAACATATTAATGTATTATTATTATTATAAAAATTGAAATAAGATTATATTGCTTTATCTTAAATAAGATTTTAATGTTACTTATATAGGAAGTAGTTTATATTTTAAAAATTTTCAAATAATTTAAATTTTGTATAACTTTCTTATTCTTTGTGAGAACTGAATATTTTATTATCAGGTTTTCCAGATGCATATTAACTGATTTACTCATTTTCTTGAATTTGTACTACTTCAATAAAAAACAGTGAAATATTTACATTTTAACATTTAATCAGAGTATTTAAAGAATAAGCTTCTTTTTATGCAGTCATATTTTGTTAATTATATATTACAAAATATAATAACTTAACATCTTTTAAGTAAAATATAAAACAGTATTATTTAGAATTGTCAGAATTTTTTGCTTTTTTTTTTTTTAGATAAAGCTCAATTTTTAAATTTATGCTTTACTTTTGTACGCTACTCTATGATAAGAATTCTATAAACAATAAATATATTATTGTTGGCTACATGAAGTCTAAGATATACGTTTTATGCATTCCTAGAAATTCAGATCTTTCAGAAGATGAAGAACGCTAAACATCGCCATGGCATGGCGGATCACGTACCAGCTGGCATACCAGTAATTGGAGTGAGCGTAATATCGTGGTCGACGAACTGGCCAAAAGCCATCAACAAGTGAGTGTGATCGTGAGCAGGACGGTCAATATGTCGATGAATGTAGAGGGAAATCACTCGAGGGGGTGGCAGAGGTTTACCAGATTTGGACATGCGTGGAACGGATATTCCTGAAAAAAATATAAGAGTAAGTATTCTGAAGGAAGCGATATCTTTAAATTGTAGTACACATAGTTTTAAAATTATAAGATAAAATGCCCAAGAATCATGTATTTCTTAACAAATTCTCATAAAACCTATCGGTATTTGATGAGTTTATCGCAAAATTTACGTTGCCTACCGAGTCATTCCATTGGACTGTGTGTGGACTATCCAACTGCTGTGAGGACGATTAAATCTGGTATACTTTCAGTCGTCAAAAATATGTTTTAAGGTAAGTAAGTACTCAGAAACAAATGCGTTAAAGTATCTTAAATTCTGCAGTTATTTCCGTCTAAACAATAATTTTGAATATTTACGAATCAGGAAATATCTTTTATTAGCACGTGTTAATTGACCGAAAATAGTAGACTACTATTATTGAAATCAAAATACAATAATTAATTTAATTTTTGGCAAGGGCTTATTATCTAATTCAGGCAAAGCACATGAAGATTTCAGACTTGAAAAAGAACACCCTAAAAGAGGGACTTTTGAATTACTTTTCCTTCCTATTCAGACATGCAGAGTTCGTTATTTATTTATTAATAAATTCAATGTATTAAATTAACGTATAATGTTGCATTACAAAATAACATATTAAATTATTATCAGGGAAATATTTGAATATTTCTTCGCTAAAATAAAAATGTGATGAAAAAAATTGCACTCAAAATTTCAGTTACGAGGAGAAAGTATGCCGTCCTAGCTTTCTTATAATTTTGATTTCAAATACAATGAAATTAATATCTTATTAAACAAAATGTAGTTGAGACACTTACTTGACAAAATCATACTAAATGGGAAAATAATAAACGTTAGAGAATATTATTAGAAACAAAAGAATGTTATTGAATTTAGCAGCGTCTTCTAGAGAATTATTATCATATAATTAGCATTTTAAATTTTCAAATTCTTTTTTTGACAAATTTTTATAATTACTCATATTTTTTTTTCTTATAATACTTTCTCTCCTAAGCATTAATACTAAATTTTGTGATTTTCACGCCTAAGTGCGAAGAAAATTATGCTTAATAATAAAGCTATAAAGACGGAAAGAAATGGCTCAGCAGAAGTGATTGCAGCAGCAGAATGGTAGACTGCGAGCTCAGTGAGAGTAAAAAACCTTAAAAAATCATTTTGCGCGATAGTTAAAATCTGAACTATTTCCCATTTTTAAAAATTTTCTTATATTTGAATTTATTGACACAACGTATTATTTGCTAGTAAAATAGCGAATATGTATTTTGTAATATTTGAATATTACGAAAGAAATTAACTGCAGTAAATGAAATAATCAAAAATCAAATATAATAATGAAGCAACTGGCACAGTGTTCATAAAAATGAGAAAAGCTTATTTTGGCCTCATTCTAAATACATTACCATCTGCGTAGTCTGGTGGAAGCAGCCTTTGAAGACAAGTAGAGGCTTTACCCCATGTCGGGTTGTAAAGATTATTACAACTGCCATCGACTGATCTGTACTTCGAATCGATACACCCTCCAGAGTGGAAATGTTTATGGCATTGCTCTGCAGCTTTCAGGGCTTCTCTACCTTTCAGTTCCTCGTGAGGAAGCGCTAATGTAACCTGCTCTTTCGTCAGACTAAACCTGTTGGAAAAGAAAAAATTATGTATTCAGTTTCCAAAAAGAATAAATAGTGTGAATTTTAAAACACTTAATCCCCTTCCTAAAATATTTGGTTATAAATCATTGAAAAATATTTAGAATTATTCAAGTTTTAATGCATTATTTAATCGTACATTTATAAAGCACATAAAAGTCAAATTTTGTTGAACGCTTGAAATTTATCAGACTGATTAAAGCTTCTGATAACTGATTATACGTTTTAAAAAACGCGTAATAACATTTATTCTTTAAAAATTTTACTAATATACATTTAAAAGTTCTTAAAAATATTGCCGCTTTTTGCTCATACCGTAAAAATTTGGTCCACGAGAAGTTATCCTTACACAGCTTCAAAATCGATTTTTAGTACCCAATCTGTCGATAGATGGCGCCACGACTGACTGCGATTAACAATTATGGTTAAATAAAAAAATCGATTTCCTTCATTTCTTGCGTAAAATAAAACAAATAAATTCATTGAAAATAGTTTTAAAAAAGAGAAGGAAAATTAATTTTGGATAATGAATGTTAAATATTTTGTCAATTATATTGTTATAGTAAATGATGGCAATAAATCTTACTTTCTCTGCTACAAAATGCTTTATTTAAAATCATCAGCGCAAGTATTTCGGTCATGGAAAAAAAAAGATAAAATGAAGCGGTGGCGCAGAAAGGCTATGAATGATTGCTTGCCAAATACGAAACATTTCTAATATATCTTTCTAATAGTGGCACGTTGTATTTATCAGCACAAAAAGAATACGGCAGTATATGCATATACGTCTTAATCATGTCTGGGGATTTTTTCTAAGATACAAGATTATTAATAAAACTTTTGTTATATGGAGAAAGTTTCCTACGCACTGGGGTTATGAATAACATAATTGCAGTTACCTACACTCCTCAACAGGGTATTCAATAAGAATAAAGGAAAGAAAGGTTTTTAAATAACGAAAGCGTAATTAGCGACTAAGCAGTCTTCCAAAATAAATGTCTGTCTTTCTTGTGTCTGATGAAGCAGTGCATTTTATACTATGCAATCTGAGATTGTTATGTTCGCATTTATCGGTAATAATGAATATTTATATTTGAAACTGAAAACAGCAATTACATGATTTCTCTAAATAATATATCATGTAACCATTTTAACTACTTAGTTTTGAAATTTTTCATATATTTCCTAACAGTTGAATCAAAATACCGTTAAAAATTCCGCAGATTTATAAAAATGATAGGTCGTTAGAAATAAGTAAGTACATAGATCGCAAATGAGCCTTAAAGGGCCAGGAAATCTTTTATACCTTAATGGATGAATGTACCAGAAGCAGCATTTCAAGCATTTATTTATTATACGAGGCTTCCCTCAATGATGAAGCCTTGTTTGAGGTATCCGAGAGTGTCGACTTGAATATGGAACTCTCAGATTAGATGAAAGAAGCCCAGATTTCCACGTATCGTCGAAGATTCCACACGTATGCTGTCAATGAGAAGGATGGAAAGACGATTGGTCATATAAAAGTAGCAGCTTCACTTATGCTGCTGATTTCTAACAAGAAAAAGAGTCTCGTATTATCCTTTTGGAAAATGATATGGCAGTACCACATGTTGCACAATCACATCTGATTAATATGGCAGTTTTTACCCCTTGATTATTATCAATACTTCGAAGCTGTATTAAGCTCTTTCAGATCGATCTTCGAGCAATATTCTGTATTGAGAGAATGGGACATGTCAATATTTTTTCCTTGAAAGAGTTATTACATTTTCCGCGCGTGCTGTCGTACCGTAAGTTTACTTCGTCCAGCAAGCACTAGGAGGTTCGCGGTTTGAATACTGGAGACGGCAAAATTAATTTTTTCATGTTTACCGATTCGAAAAACTAAGTAGTCTTTTCAAAGACAGCCGAACTGAAAACATGGTGGCATCAACTCATCATCATTTGTATTTTGTCGATATTTTGCCATAAAATAAGTGATTAACATAGCCAGATAAGACATGGAATATAGGAAACTGAATCCCGGAACGGACGCTACTGACTTTCACATTTATTGCTCTGTAAAAAATCAATAATCCCTACATGATTGTCAGCCTCATTTATACATGCGTCAATTTACTCGTATTGGAAACGTTGTTATGGTATTGCAGGTCCATTATTTGGTACTGAGCTCGAAATGCAGTAACTTGCAAATGATTCTTATTTGGACACGTTTCCATCAAAAATTTGAAAGTTCTAATAAATTGATTGCCAAATAATGGACCTAATTTGAAATGCGCTTACAAATGAATTTTCTGTACAACTGCACTGTACTCATGCTTTGCTCCCACTTCTACTCAAATGATTTGGTATTGGCATTTGGCAGCTGTACTTGTGGATAATCCGAATCGTATTATTTGAGCTAACCTAAACCTATTTGCCATGGTATCTGCGAAAATTTAAAAAAAAATAAATAAATACAGGTCCGCCGAAGGAACGTTTTCAAAAGCTTTCCATAGCAACTGATAATTTTGTACTTAAGCATTTAAGATTGCCTTAAAGTTTCCTTACTTATTCCTTAGAGTTCCTTAGTGTATTCATTTCGAAATCTCTAGCTCAGATTTTCTTAAATAACAATTTTTATTTAGTTCAATCTGCTGCAGTTTTCGAGGCCACGAACAAAAGCATATTTTGTGAGTATAGTATTTTGTTTGAGAATGCTATTTAATGAAGCAGTATATTAAACAGCCAAACCAAATAAACAGTGGGATATTCGATATTAAATAGCTGCTAATGATTTACTTGAGATAGTTATTTTTTATTTAAATATGAAAATTGATTATCACAGCACTACTTGTTGCCTTCAGCTCATATAACCAAGACTTTATTGCGTCAAAAAATATTTCATTACGAGTAACTTAATATGCTTACATATCCTTGATAACGTTTGTGGCTTCTTCAAACTTTTCACAAGCTCGTTCCATTTTGGCAGCTTTTCTGTTCGGCGCCAGGAGGTGCTGATGTCGAGAAGATGACGGATGAGATCCTGGCTTCATGATACGACCTGGAAAATAATTAAAATTTAAAATAGGAACTCTATAATGAAGAATAGTACATTAAGAATAAAAAAAAATATAAGAATTTACTCAAAAAATTACTCTTGAATTATTTTCTTAGAATAACTTCTTGGTGCATAACGAAATTTATTTTATGCAACTGCTGTCAAGAGCAGTGTAAACATATAAAGCTTGTTATCAAAGTACTCAGAGTTATTCTTTTTTAACATTACACGTGGCAAATTTCTAAGTAAATGAATCTTCTGCCTTTACTTTTTAAAAAGCAAATTCTTTTCAGATGAATTAAACTTTGAAACTGTTGTTCAGTTTTCAGCACTACAGAAGAAAGTAATTTCTTAGATAAGAAATCTAATCTTCGTTATTTTTTTATGCATGTAAAAGTAACCGCTCCAATAAGTATAAAACAGAAGGCATTGTAAATGTCTTTCACAACGAAATAGTAAAGCGCAAAACTGGAGGACAAAGATTTCTTTAAATTGAAGTTCAAGGAAATAGAATTTTTCGGATGTTTATAATATTTTCATATAAATATTATAAACATTTAGATGCATAACTAAAGCTAAACTTCAGAACCATTTCACTCCCACATTAGGGATTTGTACTCATGTTCCTATAGAGATCATGCACATTTCTTTCGTGGTAGAAAACACGCGGAATCTCAGAACTCAAACTGGAAATTTAGGCTAATAAAGGGGTTTGTAAAGAAATTATATCTTCTAAATAATATTGTTTTTGCCTGATTGTATAAAAATACCCAGATTTTCGAAATGCTTATCGTTCAGTTCCTAATTCTCTCTCTTTTTTTCTTTTTAAACTCTCTCTTCCGATTTATTTTGAAATGCCTCACTTCTTAATTGCGTAGAAAAGCTAAGATAGGAAACGAAGCATTGTCTGATTGCTATATTACCTGAGAATAAAGGTAAATTTAATTAAATTTAGCACTTGCTAGTGCTAAGCTAGGGATTAGAGTCCCTAATGGTGAGATGAAGTTGAGTGATCCAGCGATTGTTTTGTAGAGAGGATTTGTGAGAGAATTCGAGAGAACTGTTTTTCATTCTTAAAGCAATAAATTATTTACGTATATTTCCAGAAAATAATAATTATATTTGTGCTTAATTTTAGGATAATGGAAAGACAGTTTTTTGTAACATTAGGTCTATGGTTTAGCACTATAAACTTTAGTTCTTACTATCCGAATAATGATTTTATTTTCCTTTATGTATGACTTTCCTTTGTTAACAAGATAAACAGCAGACTGCATAGGTAACAAACTTTTAAACAAAAAAAATCTATCCAGTTGACTGTAAAAAGTATAAATGACTATTCAACCTGGAAATTAAAAATTAGAATAATAATTTACTCAAATAAAATTCAATTTTTTTTATTATGATGACTACAAAAAGCTCTTAGTATGGTAGAAGATTTCATTCTTCTGTGTGTTGTTTATTTATAAACGCGTTGTAAAAAGATTATCTGAAGATCAGTGAAACTGCACAAAAAGTCATAAACACAGAATCAGGTTTTCACAACAGCACTGAAAAATTCTGGACCTGGATATTTGCTTTTGAGTTCAATTAGTCAGTTCAAACTGAACACCGTAAGGAACAAACAGATGGGCTCAAATAATAGCCTCAAACCACTTCTTTAAAATTTAGGAATTAACTGTATTAACTATTAGTTTCTATATAATTATAGGTTCATAATATGAGTTGTTGTTGTTGGAAACTGATCGAAATGCATATTAGGCTGTCGAGTTTTATATAAAAAAATTATAAGAAATTTCAACTCACCTCCTTTGAAGATTTTATCTTCGTGCGCTCTTTTGGCTTTAATCACATGTTCAGCGACTATAAAGGCCTGGTCCATATCGTATTCTGATATATGTGGCAACCACTCGTAGTGTGTCCTCTGTAGAATGGCATATCGAGGTGTGATGACCCCTTGGCCTATTGTCAATTTGCAGGCACATAGGACTACAGTCAACCGCACCACTAACCTATAATAAAAAAATATACATAAAATAAAACACTTTTGAAATAAAATTTAAGTTCATTTTAAGGCATTTTATATTAATAAGAATGCAGTGTGCTTTTAACACTAGCTTTATTTAATTAAAAAAATATTAGATTAAAAAACATATAATGTATGCATTTTATTTTGATGATTTTTAAATAAAAAAAATTCTTGGTAAGCCATATAGGATTTAACTTAGTCACATAAATAAAGTCGATATGAAGACGGAATAAGAAATGAGGGGGAGAATGTTTTGCATGTAAAATGTACTTCTAAATGTGTTAAAATGTATTTATTAGCAAAGCATAAACCACGATCAAAAATGATTCTGCTCATAGAATGTTAAGAGAACACTTTTCTTACAAAGGGTCTTAAGTGCATTGAAAGATGAAATGATTGCAGTTCCTTTAAAAGCCTGAAATAATCGAGATTTTGATGAATGATATTTTTTTATTTTATTTCCATTATAGCATTTCAAATGCAATGATGAGATAAGCAATCAAGATAAAATACTCATAAAGACTGTACTTAACTTGTACACATATATAAGCTGATAAGCAAATCTTTTGAAAATAACTATCTCTTTTCCGTATGTCTCAACAGCGTGGTGCCAAAAATGTTAGCACCTTCTTTGAAAATCGTACCTTATTAGTATGCTTTGTAAGTTCTTTGATTAACATTCACAGGTCAACGTATGCAAACCTTCAACCCAACAGATTTTAAGCATCCTCCTCGTAATCCTAGGTAAGCCATACGAAGTTGAATAATCAACACAATGTATGTAGTGTAATCTTTAAATAATATGGAAATCCAGCTCAGTTGTTTTAACCTTTTCTCACCATTTATCCCAAAAGATTTCTGTCAAATTCAGTTACGAGTGAATCAAAGCAGGTCACTTCCAGGATATCAACCGCCCAAACCACAATCTATGTTTTAAGAACATGTTAGGTAACAATGGGTTGAAAGAACCTAACTACTTTTAATGACTGGCTTGCATGATAATGAGAAAGATTCATTGAAGAATACACGTATTTGTTAGTGGACATACGGAGAAAGCACTTCCGCGTACACCTCAGTTTTCAATATATCAACATTTCTTCGATGCATGTCTTTTATTGATTGATTGTTGCTAAACATGCAATTGTTATATTTCCTGCTTCTTTACCGGTGAGCAATTCACTCTTGTAACAAATACAGTCACAATAAACGTTTTGTATATTGAAAGTATATTGAAAATCTGTTGATTTATAGATTATATCTAACATAACAGTGGTAAAGTTTTCTATGTTTGATATTTTTTTCCATAAGCATTTTACGTCTGGGGGAATAATAGGTTTACTTTCTTCTATAACCTCCGAAAAACTATTTCAACAACTTTTTGCAGTCGAGAACAAAAGCAGCTTTCATAGCACAATAGCATTCAAAGCATAAACGTGTGTTTTTGTGGACGATTTTTTATCGGGTTACTCTCTGAACTACATGGTTTCTTTCACGTCGACCTAGTTATTAACCTTCTCACAGAAACGAATGCATTCTTTTTTCCGTGAGAAAACCATCTAGTCATGTAGTATCAGGCACACTGATATAGTGGATCGAAACCACTGGCACGCCTTTGAAATTAATCATTCGTATTCAACAGTAAGAAATTAAGCTGCAGTTGTTTTCGCGGGGTTAGCTACGCATTTTTGAAATCCCTAAATAAATTTCCATGATATCCTAGATACACCGTAACATTCTGTGCCCAGTTAATTCAAATAACCCAGTAAATGCTTAGGTATGAGTAAGTACTTCATTCGCGAGGTGCGGCAAGTAATTTAAATAAACGCAAGGTCAGAGCATTCTGTCTGCAAACTTGACCTATGCGATTCGTGCTTTTATATGCAAATCAGGATACTGAAGATAAGTCCGCCTGAGCAAGTCAAGATGACAGTTTTTTTTTTTTTTTTTTTTTTTTAACACAGAAAATAGCACAGATTTCTCATATTGATATTGTAAAGAGCACTGTAATTATAAAGAAGATGCTCTTCTTAAGCGGAAATTACATCCAAAATAAAGCAAGCAGCTGTTTGACATGACTTAATCAATTACATTAGATACGACATCAAATTGGGGTATGCTGGTTCTCTTTTACAATAACACTGAAAATATAAATCTGGATTTTGCATTTCCAGAAAGGAAACATCAATGTTGCTTTTCAGAAACCCACAGAATATATAGACACAGTATTGGTTTTTAATTATGTTATACGTAATAAATATTGCTAATATTGTTATGCATTTGACTTAATTATAAACGAAACACTATAGTCTCCCCAATTGTTTAAACAATAAATATATTAAGAAATAAAATATTAAATAATAAAAATAAATATTTTGTGTGTCAGAATAACTGTGCTGCTGTTAAATGAAGGTAATAATTTAAAGCATTCATTTAATCTCTTCCAACTATCAAAAAGGCCAAACTTATAAATTTAACTTCATGATATATTATATACTGGAATATAGACTAATCTGGTCATTTTTTTTTAAGTTCGTGAGAAAAATATTTTCTAAAAGACCTATGTACTGCTGAAATTAATTCTCACTGCACGTGAATGATAAGCATGCGAATAAAATAAGTGATAATAGAATACTTTGCATACTAATTAGTCAATAAAAATAGCACATTCATAATTTCTAACTCAGCCAAATAGAATTGTTAAGTTCTTGAAAAACTGATTGATATTTGTATATCATTTTCGACGCTACAAACCGTATAAAACATATCAAAATCTCATGATGTGATCCGCCCAATATAAACTCAGATATACAAATTTAGTTTTAATAAGAGCAGTTTGATCTTATTACAATCCTCGGTGAGCCAGATTTTGAGATTATTTCTTATAATGCATTTGAAAGGGATAGCTTTGCTTTCAGATAATTTCTTTCGGCAGTTGCTCGAAGGTTAAATGCATGGTCATGTTTTCGACATAACGCTGCTATGTTTCTTAAACCTACTAGACATCACGTTCCATGACAAAAATATGAAGTCTCTCATGGTGACCATTATTGAATACGACCACTATTTTTCTGAGAAAATGAATAAACATCTGTAATAAGTGTTATTTTCCAAAAAAAGATCACTTCTCCCCAAGACCAATAGTGTTTGTAACTGTGATCGTCACAAAATGGTTTCACAGCATTTATAAATATTTTGATATTTTTCCTCATTTGCCAAACAAATTCAGATTTATTAATTATGCTAGATGGAATCAAAATAATTAAAAATTAACTATTTCATTTCTTGTAGGTCAGTTATATTGTCCTAGGAAAGAGAACCTTTTATTTCAAACAAATTAATGGTAATGATTAGGAAAAATTAAAATGGAATTAGGTTAGTATAATTTTATTGGTCAAGCCTCCTTATAATATAGAATGGCATTCTTCTGAACATACTTATTAAAAAGGTGAATTTACTTGGTTTATTATAATCCTACTCATCACATCATATCTAATTTAATAGATTTTCCTTATGCAATTGGGACCGAGCGGTAAAGTCGCTAAAATGTAGTAGTTCGGTCCGGGGTTCAAATGCTGGCGAAAGGGCTGACTGCATCGGCGTTTCTGTGTTTTCCCCCATCTGTAACTTGTATAAGAGCCAGTTTTCCTTAGAAAGTCCTCCATGAAAGCAATCCTTCCCTTTGGTAGGTAGCCATCGTTTGCTTTGCCACAATCAAAAAAACTAAACCAGACCTTATACCATTCGAAAAGGAAGAGAAATCTGTTAGATGCAGTATAACTGCAGATCTATCAATTTTTAAATAGAAAATTTCAAATTTTGCAATGTTTTTATTCTTTCGTTAGCGCATCAAATTCTCATATATTCTCTGCCTACATAGCCATATTTGAATAGTAAATAAATCATTTCTATCGAATCTAGTTATAAACGTTAAGTAAATACAAGTCCATTAGTATTAAAGTTTTGAAACTAAATTATACCTAGTTACTTACTTAGAAAAACATAATTACAATTTTTAGAACTGCAATAATTATGAGCTGAAACATTACTGCTATTTTTAAATAGCAGTAATATTTCACATTATTGGAATTTTGATTAAAAAAAACTTCCAGCGTCTTTTATGCCAGAAAAAAAACTAGCTTACAAAGACAAATGTAATTTTAAATTGTCAGAATTTAAATAATTTCGAATTGCCTCAATGCAAATATTTTAAGAAATATTAATGATTCATATTTTAGGAATTTGAGTAAGAAAAATTCCAGCTATCTCATTGTGTTATAACGGCTACTCTGTATAGGTGCATGAAAATGAATCATTTATAAAAGGCATATAAGCTTATGGCCCATATTTCGAAACGAGTGGAGGATAAACCTGCCTATTAAGTTTTCCCGTCATCGTAAAATTGTCTTAAAATGCTAACATTTGAAAATATTTAGCATGTCTGCGACATGTCAGCAAGGTAGGTCATGTTTACAACATACAAGCTAAAAGAAAATAAATTATAATTTAAAGAGATGTTGTTTTTCATAAGAATAAAAATTAATTCACCCAAGTCGTTTCCCTGGAGAAAAACGGAATTCACGCATATCGAATCTTTTTAGATATGCTGCCATCTATCTTTTTAGACTTGAACTGAATGTTTAATAACATAATAGTTTATGATTTCTTCGAGGGAAAATGCGTTGCCAGTTTTTAACTTTTATTTTACATCGAATAAAAACTCTAAAAACAATTACTTCTGTTTGTTTCTCATTATCACTCACATGTGTGGTTTATCGTATACGAAACTACAAACTTCTTCCGTAAATAAAATAGAAACGTTTTTGCTCAAACAACGAACTAGAGAAAAAATAATGCTCGAATAAAGCACGCGAAAAAAAAAAAAAAAACTCATGCTATTTATAACAGTATTAAAAATTTCAACTTTAAAAATGGTAATGAGGGAAAATAAAATATGAAACAGAAAACAACACTTTTTAATAATTT